ATGCTTCAGCATCACTGGTACAGTCTGCTTGCTTCAGAAAAACTGGGTCTGCTTGCTTCAGCTTCACTGGTACAGTCTGCTTGCTTCAGAAAAACTGGGTCTACTTGCTTCAGCTTCACTGGTACAGTCTGCTTGCTTCAGAAAAACTGGGTCTGCTTGCTTCAGCTTCACTGGTACGGTCTGCTTGCTTCAGAAAACTGGGTCTGCTTGCTTCAGCTTCACTGGTACAGTCTGCTTGCTTCAGACAAACTGGGTCGTGGGTCTTGCTTCACCTAAGTCGCTGTGATTTGCCTGCCATTCAAGAAGTCAAGTGGGGACCAGTTTTTGGCTAGATATTTGCTATGCGTGATGCATGGTTGGGCGTACCAACTAAACTTCAATCACGTATGTTACTCAAGATAGGGCGACCCCCCAACCCTCAGGAGGCTAGCTCCAGGAGTTTGGTTTGGCTGGCTCCCCCATGGCTTTGGTTGCGGGCTGTTTTGGGGTTTTCGGGTTCCTCAACCGAGGTTTCGGGCGCCAGGCGCCTTGTAGCAAGTCCAGGGCTTCGGCAGCTCTGTCTCCATCATGGCCCGCACCAGCCACAGCATCCGCTCCTTCGCCTGGATCCGCAGGTAGTAGGACCACTCCTACGACACCGCCGACCGCGACCACGGGCGCCCAGGCGCCGCCCAGAAAAACGCGGGAAGAGAAACTGGGCGCAAGCCCCTGCCGACGAAAACCAGGCGGGGAAAGGCGAAACAAGGTGCAAGATAGAAAAAGTGCAAGATGAGATCACTTTCCTGAGTGTCTGGACGCGCACGCACACACGCACACGCACACGCGCGCGCGTGCGCACGCACAAGCAAACGCACACGCACGCGCACGCGCACGCGCACGCGCACGCGCACGCGCACGCGCACACGCACACGCACACGCACACCCACACCCACACCCACACCCGCGTGGTACGCTTTTGGTTTCCCCTAAAACCATCCGACAAGGGGCACCGATGCTGCTTGGGAAACACCCTGTGCCTCTCTCTTTCTCTCTCTCTCTCTCTCTCTTTCTCTCTCTCTCTCTCTCTCTCTCTCTCTCTCTTTCCCTCTCTGTCCTCGAGCGTCGGCACCGCCCCATCGCACATGAGCGCCGGGAACCGCTCGAGCTTCAGCAACGCCTTTCAAGGAAGTGGCCGGTGGTGCACCTACCCCAAAATGGTACCGTTGGTTTTGACCCACAGCCAAGTGGCGCCGCGCGGGTTAAAACGAAGTTGGGAGTCTTCCGTAAGGCTCCAGCCTCAAGCGCCATTGATGTGTTGGTGATGGGTTACCCCCTTTCCACCAACCACGGAAGTGGACAAAGATCGATCCCCAAAGAAAAGTCCTCTTCCAGTCCCTCCTGCAAGTGTCCATTCGAGATGCTGCCCTAGGATCCAACCGATTCCCATCCAAACAATGGCACGGGCCCTTTTTTTGATGACGAAACTCCCGAGAAACTCAAATGGCGATATCAACCCCAGTGTTCCAAAAGGTTGCCCTGGATGTTCGGTGCTTGCCCCCCCCCCGGTCGTTTTGGGTCGTCTTCCCCAGGGTTTTACTTGGGGGTGGTGTAGGCGTCCCCCTTTGGGCGGCCTGAAGGGTGGAAAGTGCTCCCTTTGGCTTCAAGAAGCAGGTGAACTCCCGAAACCAAGCATCCAAACCACCCAACTGCCCGAAACTTCCGGACAGAGACGCAGGACTGTGAGGTTTCCATATCTCAAAGAGAAGCGAACTCCAAGCATCTTACAAAGTAAGCCCAGGTCAGGCGCGAATCGTCAGCAGAGAGCTTATCTGGGCAAAACCCCCAAAGCTGTTGGGCGAATTCGCCCCGCACCTGCTGTGTCAAGGGGTCATCAATGCCAAAGAGGACAAAAGGGTCCGCATCCAAATACTCCAAGGTCTCCTGGCGACAGATGTAACATGAGCAGCTCGGAGCGATGATGGTTTCTGCCGAGACTTGGTCGGCGTTTTTTCCTGGACGCCCCCTTGGGCCGCTGCTCAAACCAATCTGGCGATTGCTCCGTGTCCTGCGGGTTGGGTTCGTGTGCCTAGTATCCTCCCGTTGATCGCCTTTTCCAAATAAAGCTCGGAACAGGCAAAAATGCGTTGTGTGTGTGTGTCTCCAAAAACAGCTAAGACAGAAACCCCAAACCCCCCCCCCCGAGAAAAAAGAAGAAGAAGAAGAAGAAGAAAGAAGAGAAAAAAAGAAGAAGAAAAAAGAAACGTTTGCAGCCAACACAGGCGGGGATGCGTTGATGCGTTCTTTCTCCTCGCTCAGAATGCCCCGCTTCTCGAAGTAGGACAAGACATTGGTCCAGAGGTCATCCAAGTCGTTGTACCAGCCATCGCTCAGGCTGTCCAAAGGCGGAATCACCTGCGGTGGCACTGGAAAGAGAAGGATCAAAGAGATTCCGCGTTTTGTTTCCCTCCAAAAAAAATTGGGGGGGTAGAAAAGGAGCCTTGATTTTTCCGGGGCGGCTTCCTTTGCGGAAAGCCTTCGAACTCATGTAAGTAACTCATGCAAGAAGACGTCCCCCACCCATTTGGCAAAGTGTCCCCATTGGCAAACACTCGATGCCTTTATAGCCGAAGCTCATCAGACATGGCTTAGCACCAGCCTCTATGAGGGTTGTTCAAAACAAAGCGCCACAAAATAAAGCCGTTGGAGGGGGCTGGAGGTTTCGCGCCAAGGCGACAAGAAGGGCGCCTCTTTCTCGGCTCGCCAGCTGATCTGGAACTGCGGGCCCGCGTTTTCGGTATTGCCGCCCCAGCGAGTTTCCAAGTACAGCGGCTGGCCCTCGTCCAAGGGCCTCGGAGCCATCACTTCGAGAAGACCTTCCCCTGTGGCTTCCTTGAGAGTTCCATTCCCAGCGTTCCGTTCCGAGCGCCAGCAAGATAACCTGTAACCTACTGGCAGGCAACCATGGTTACCAACACTTTACTCTCCGTGGGAACCGAGGAGACGCTCCGATATAACTCGCTGTGAATCATGCTCGATTGAGAGGACCCCCAACGACACCATCAAAAATCTGAAGGTTTCTGCAACCAACCATTTTGGAGGCTGCAAACAGTACCTGAAAAATGGGTGGCGTCCCTTTGCGTTCCCTTTGCTTTCCAACCCAAAAAAAACGGGGTCGAGAGAGAGAGTCAGGCACGACACATCTGCCAAAGGGCATCAGGGCAAAGAAACCCACGGGGATGCTTCCTCGAGACACTTTCAGGTCGGCGCGCTGGTGCAGGTAGGAATAGAGCTTTGCCTCCCGAGTTTCAAAGCCAAGATAAACTACATCAAGCTTCATGGATTCTATATCTTGGATCTGACATGCTAACACAGGTTTCAGTTGGTCTTCCTGGACCCCAACCAAAGGGCTTCAGGGAGCTGAATCGATTTGGTCAGCTCGCCCATGCACAGATTTTTCGGGCGGCGGCAGGTAAGTCAGCTGGTCTTCGCCGCGAAGCATCATACGATCATACGCCTGCGGCCTGATTTTCAACTGGCTACACCTTGGGTGTGGCTCAAAATTCAACGGGGGGGGGGGGAAACCGCAGGTTTTGGTTCCACCAGTTCCCCCCATTCTATTTTTGGGTACCAGGTTTTTGAGCCACAGCCATTTTCTCAAAAGGGGTGTGCCAAATGCCGGGCACAAAAAAAATGGGTGGTTTCCTTTTGCAGCTGCTGCTTCGCTAGAGTTGGGACTCCCGGGTCACGGACAAGAAAAGTGGATTCCTGTTAGCGTCCCTTTAAGCCAACCCCGATGCCCAAATTAGTACCCTCGAGCACACACACACACACACACACACACCCACACACACGAGGGAAGATAGCTGCGTCCCACTGGGTGAACCCCAAAACTAAATAAGATCCCGGAGAGGAAGTGCTGTTCGACTCGGTTACCCCACATGCAATTGACAAGTCCCAAAGCTGCCTCTTTCTCATCTGCCGGCTTGTAGGTCGAGCCGAACCGGATGACTCTGTGCCTTGGGGGGGTCTGACAAACCCACGCCAAGGTACAGGGTGCGCATGGCTTCCCCACATTTCCTGGAAAAAAAATTGCCCCGACACGCACCTTGAATGGGCCAAAAGCCGTGATGTTGAAAGCCACAACATGGAAACATAGCTCGGTTGCTTTCTGCTCCCCTGCTAAAAATTTAACTTTTTGTGGTTTTAATGGAAAGCCCATCAGTTCGCAAAGAGTTTAAAGTCTTAACATCCCTTGGCAACATGCACCAAACATGCCCCGGTCTCACCAAGTGGCTTGGTCAGGATTTCCGTCTTCGGAATGTGGGCATTGATCGTTGGCTTCGCAGCTGCCATGGCGCTGAGCTCTTCTCACGCCATCTCTCCTACCTACTGGCTGCAGCCTGTGGGCTGGATCGAATGCAAGGGTGCCAGTGTGCTAGGGGTAACTTCCACATTCTCAAAAAATAGAGGGCCCTGGTTTAGATGGGGTTTATTCCATTTACCAGGGCTATCTATTTTTCCAGTAGGGGTGCCAGTATGTTTCATCGCGGATTCAAGGCTTATTTGGGCTCCCTTCCCATGAGTTGAAGTTGGTTTTTCTAGGGGTAACTTCCATTTCCATTCTTTCCAGGGATCCGAATCTTTCTGAAAACCACCAAACATTGTGGGGAAATGGCTGGTTTTTGAAAAGAACGATGGCTGAAAAGAATGGTTGGAATCAACCCCTAGAAGTGGTTACCTTGCACCCACAGACACAAAAGCGCGCATTTTCCTGTTGCCAGCCGAATCTCCTCTTAGTGGGGCCTGTGCGCTTCTGGAGTTGGTGGCGAGGCCATGTCCCGTCGAGAAAAGCGAAGATCCAGCCCAACCATTGCCCAGGAGCCAGAACCCAAGTCAAAACTGACGCCGGAACCAAAGCCCAAAGAATGCCTCCCTTGGGTGTCCTTTTGGCTTCCCTTTCACCATCCGGACGCAACTGCACCTCGATGGCATACTCGCGACCCTCGAGGTTCACGTAGGGGAGACCGCCCACCTACAGGGATGGGTTCTCAAAATAGGATCCCCTGCAGATTGACATGGAAAAACCACTACAAAAAACTCATCCACTAGAGGAGTCTCCTATTTGCAACCGGTTTTTGGGTATGCGAAAAAATGGCCGCCAAGAAAGACCCCCATCCCCGACAAAAGTTAGCTGGGGCCACCCAAAAGGGACCGCCCGCGGCCCAGTCGCCCAACCAACTGCCCCCGCAAAAAGAAAAAGCCAGGAACTTGCGGCAAGGAAAGCATCTTCATTTGCCTGTGGCTCACAAAAATGGAATATATGGAGACAACGACTAAAACCTGTGTGCGTCCAGCTGTTTTATTTTGAGCCACGCCCATTGTCCAAAAAGCTCAAAGGTAGACCAAAGCCAAATGCCTCCCAAGCAGACTTGCCGTAGCCGTTGCCGCTAACACCATTCTCCAGCACATAGGTGAAGTTGTAGTAGCCTGGCCGCCAACTGTCCGAAATTAACCAAATCAAAGAAGAAAGTCAAAGTCGAAGCGGAAGACATCCACACTCTATTGTGGATGGGTCCACAAAATCCCAAAAATGTTTTGGTTTTTGGCTGGGACGAGTTTCCGCACGGCCGGCTTCTCACGCTGCTCGCCTGCAGGTGTTCCAGCCGAAACCTCGCAGACCTGCAGAAACCAAGTAGAAACTGCGCACTTCTTGTGAGTCCCTCCCCAATGACCCCAAATCAGGGTTGTGGGATCAAGGGGTTTATCCCCACTTCTGTGATACAAGGGAATCCCCTCTTTAAATGATCAAATTTTGTTCCTACCCCATTTGGCTGTGGGTCAAAACCCTGTACCCCTGGTGAACATCAAAATAGGTGGTACATGGGTGTTCATCCGCCCCAAAATGGGATCGCCATAGGTTATGACCCATGGGCCATTTCACAAAAGCCCGGCATTCTGACGTGGCCGAGTTTTTGCTGGGGCTCCCGGCACCCTCATACATGCTGGGCGTCTCCAGGATGTCGCAGCGGAATTCATCACGACCAGCTGGGCAAAAGGCTTCGTGAGTCCCAAGGTTCTTGGAGAAGCTGAGTGAGTCCCCCCATGTCCCTCCCAAAATGGACCATAGACTGCCGGAAATTTCGACCGAGCCTCATGTGCGGATGAAAAACAGTCCCAGCAGCTGAGGGCGGGTGGCTGGCTGGGCAAGTAGATGGGTGCGTGTGTAGGTGAGTAAGTGGGTGCATGCGTGGGTGAGCGGGCACCCTGGTGGACGTTGCATGGCTGGATAGGTGGATAGATGGGCTACCAGTTCACGGTGACGCAAAGTGTGCAAGGGTAAGGCAAACTCAAAATTCAGCGCAGGTGCGCAGACAACACTTCAAACGGTAATGCAGAGCGTCGTGCAAATGGTGCTGCACCCGGCGCACTCGGTTGGAGGGGTGATGAAAATGCCGATGAAGCTGCCCTAGTCTCAACATGCCAGCTGGTTATTCAGTTCATTCATGAATGCAATAGTTCGGCTCAAATCACATCTCACACCTCTCAGATTGTGAGATGGACTCAAAGTGGTCAGTCCCCTTCCTGCTCATCTTTCCAAACCAAAACATGAGGGACTCTCCGACAAATATGACCCACACTGAGTTGGTGTTCCTGGCTTACCTTTGAAACCAATTAAATTATTGGGTTCTCCAAAGAAAGCTGACCATGGATATTGGCGGAGCCAGGGAGTCTGGAAACCAGAAAAGACTTTTCCTACGTCCCCCAGGAGAAAAGACACGTCGGAAGGAAAGGAACCAAAGCCAAGGCCCACAGTCGGCCGCTTGGTTTACCTGTACCAATCAGAAGTTTAATCCAAAAATGGAACGACCGAAAGACCAGCCCCGCGCCTTTGTCTGAAAGTATCTCTATTCCGGTGCCCAGGTATGCATGCATGATCTCCGTGGCGTTCCTCTTCTCGCCTCAAAACAGAAGGCTTCTGCAAGGTGTATGTTTGGGTTTTTCTCAAAATGGGGGAAGGCACCGGTATTTGATTCTGCCTCCAAATAGGGGAAGGTATCCTTCTGGTTTCCCTTTGAAGCCCAAAACCTTGGGCTGACAACATAAACTTGGACGCAAGGCCTTGCTCCAATCAAACTGGAAACCGGGTAGCACCTACTCAACTGGACGTGGGTTCCTTTACGTTAAATGGGAGTCTGGAGTGCCGCCGCCAAGACCTAAGACCTGAGCAGAAATGCGGCGGGGGATCCATTTGGGGGTCCCAAATGTCGCAAGGACTCTCCACAATTTGGAGGGTGAAGAGCAAGGATTCTGCAATGGAGGGTGAAGCATCCAACACATCCGGCTTGATGTATCCCGGGTCAGAAAACCACCCCAGGTTGTGGTCTCAACCTCTCCAGAACCCACACGAACCGCCTTTGCAACTTTGAATCCGCAAAGGGGTTCTCCCGGCTTCAGGAGGTAGCCTTGTTGAGACCCAGTTTTTACCAGAGCACTCCCGGGCCGGGCAAAGAAAGCAGTTCCAGCCTCGAAACGTACCTTTCAACTGGCCAAACTTCAAACAGGTGACCTGCAAAACCAAGGGGAATTCCAGTTGCGGCGTTGCCTCCACTCCGCACAAGTCGGAAAGCGATTTGTGGGCGGTCTGGTGACTAGATTGGTGTACCGCGGCCGTTGGAATCCGCCTCTCGTCTCACCATCTGGCCGCTATTCAGTCGAACCCCTGCCATTCGCCCACCTGGCAAACAAAAACGAAACAGCCAAAACCTCCACCCCCCCCCACCCCAACCATACCCGCCCACCCCCCCAACCGAAACTACCCCCCCCCCACCCCCCCTTTTCCCCCAATCAACCAACTCCTGCCCACCCAAAACCCACCAAGTACCCCCCCCAATCGCTGAGTGACCTAAACCCGTTCGTTCTGGTGGCCAGTTCTACGAAGATTCTGCTGCATAGTCACAAGTCCCTGGACCTTCTCAGGTCGTCCCTGCCAAGCACCTGGACACCAACCAGAACCAACCCAACGTCCCAACCCCCCCCCGAACCGGCCTGAGGCACCCACCTGCCACTCTGAAAATCGAGTGGGGAGTTTGCAAAAAGAATCCCAGCCCAAAATCAGGCCCAAAGCCCTTTGCCACGGACCCTTTGCCCACGGAAAGCGGCGGTTTGGCCAAAGCCGAAATCCGCCGTCGCACTGAGCCCTGGGCGTTGTACAGGATGGCCGAAGCCTGGGAGATGTGCGACACCTTGGCGTGAAACCTCGCGCACACTGAAATCTGGCCAATCGATCCGATTGTGCATTCAGGGCAACCGGGGAACCACTCCCCGGTGACTTCATCTCGCGCGACCGCGCCTCTCTGTGTCTGTTATTGCTTTTTTTCTCATTTTTTGTTTTTCTCTCTCTCTCTCTTCTCGCTATCTTTTTCTTTTCTCTCAATTTCGAGGGTGTTTGCAGGGACCAACCCATGCTTCACTTACCTGGATGTTCTCCAAACCTTCGTTTACAAGCCAAGGCCACCCTCGCAGGGCCTGTCGAGGGTGCGGAAGGTGCCGGTGCGAAGTTGCGCCCTGTGGCCTGAAGATAGCACATGGGGCTTGTGGGTGGTCAAGGGAGGTTGGTGTCAATGGAAACCAAACCCAAAAGCAAACCTGGACACGAAAAAACCACGTTCTGCCCGAAATCTTGGGATTTGGCAAACCCGGAAATGGCGTCCTCTTGGCTTCCCTTCAAGTAAAAAAGAAATGCGAAAAGGTATTCCTCTTGGTTTTCACAGGCAACCTGAAAGAAGATCCGCAGAGAATTCCTGGCTATAACTATTAGGGATTTGGGTATCACTTGCAGCTGATTTCCAAACTTCGCAAAACTGGGCACACAAATTTAACCAGTGGGGTGGTGTGTTGGGAACCGTCATGAGTTCTAAATTGTGGAAAACCCTTGCCATTTGTAGGAGGTCCCTTTGAAAAAAACCCCCGCACATGAGTTCTGCCATGACACGCTGACACCCGGTCACTCAAAGGAGTCACCCAGAATCCATGCCCACATCAATTTTTGCGACTACCCAACCGACTTGTGTGGCCTCGGATGAAGCTGCGCAAGTCTTGGACTCCAGCCCGGAGAAGCTCGGGCTATGTCCCCTGTTATGAGTGACCCAAACATACTGTGGAGAAATCATGCACACCTCAGAAACCCTTAATGATTCGATTCCCCTTGCAAATACCACCAAACACTGGTATTTTTCCATGGTTTCACTATGGTGCAAATTTCGTCCATCCACAGTAGGAGTAGACCAGAATAAGTCCTCAGGTAGGGCATTGAGGGCTCGAGCTGCGCCAGAGTTTTACGGACCCGTGCCTGAAGTAAAGACGACCTCGACCTCGTGCCTTCCTCAGAATCAGCGAGACTTGTCCTGTG